CAATAAAAAAAATCTAAACATAATAACAAAGCCGGTTATATTCCAGCTGTGCCCTGTGCTGGCTGAGTGACCTTGGGCGAGTCAACAAACTCTGGGGAGCCTTGCTTCATCTCAGTAAATGGAGATAGGAATGCCCAGGGTACAGCCTCACTGGGATGCCCAGGTGAAATCACATGTGACACAGCACAGTCCTTTACAAACTGCAGACATTTCTGTAAACATAAGCTGTTCTCTGGTCCTGTGATTCTACTTGGCTGTTGTATGTAAGCACATAATTCATACTTGAAGTGGTCTCTGTTCTCGACAGCGCCCTGCACCCAGATTCTTTAGATGAACCCCACGTTCTTTCTGCAGTTTCCCCAGACTGATCCAGCGCCATTTTTAGGGTTCATAACAGAGCCCAGTTGCAGTGGCACCTACGTGCTTCAAAGGACAAGCAATTTGGAGAGCCACCTACAGGTGATCAGAGGCCTAAAACCATCTTCTGTACAGGAAGCAAAAAGCCACACCCACAGACAGAAGGGACGTAACCTTTTTTGGGGGTGCCTCCTCTGTGCCAGGCTCTCTGCTGGACAACCAATATATATTTTCTCTGCCAGGCTTATCACATTGCTCACAGAGAAGAAGGCTAGCCTCAGTTTACAGATGAGGAAACTGGCATTTCACAGAGCTGTAGGGTCACGAAGTGGGTGGCAGGGAGAAAGAGCAGCAGCCTGACAGCTGGGAGCCAACCCAGCCCTCACACTAGGCCTTTGGGTTCTGTTCAACGTGAACAGGTTCGCTGAACACCAGCATCAGACAAGGCCACCCCGTGACCGTGATGGGTGCAGACAAATCAAGACCACTCGGTACCACGGCTGAGCACAGGCAACACATGAATATTGCCCACATTATAAAAATGACCAGGCATTCTTCTAGCTTTACCTTGCTCCATTCTTTGTGTCCTCAAGATGTATTAAAATAATCATACTCTCACTTTCTCAGAGCATCCAACCCAGATACTTGACCCTTCCCAAGTCATCTAGCATAAGCCCAGTCCTGCGTTAAGCCCTTTCTCACACCCTTACAGAGATGCCCACGGCTTCCCTCACTGCAGTGAGAGATAAATCCAGCTTGTTCAGCTGCAAGTGTGTTCCTGGTGGGCTTCGGCTGCAGGAACTTGGCAGTGGGAATATCAGCCTAGATCTGCCTGTGTCAAAGGTTGGGGGGTTGGTTTTGTTTTCAGTTGTACTGTCTGATTTTCCATCTACTTTGTCGTCCTCTAGAAATGAAGATATTAAGATGTCAATCACAAGTGAGCTTAAAGTTCATGAGTATTTGCCAACTTCCATTAAGCGAAGAACCATTCATTCATTTGTTCACTCACATCCTCATTCTCCGTGTTAGCAGCGGCGCGTCCCATGTTCCAAGCTCTCACTCAGAATTTGAGATACTGACGTGAAAGGTGCAGTGGAACCCATTGTGTAGAGTGTACTAGGGGATAAGATGATGGCGGTGTAGACAGAGGTCTGCACAGAGCACGCTAGAATCCGGGAAGCTGTTATATTGGAGCTGGTTCTGAAAGTGTGAGCACCCAGGTGCAGGACAAAGGGAGGCCCTGGAGACACTGCCTGAGCAGAGATGGGAAAAGTCCTGTCACATCAAGCTGACCAGAAGCGGAGTACCGAAGGTGGGGCAGAGGAGAGGAGGCAGACGAGGCTGAATGGGCAGGTGGAGCATGTTAGAAGGGCCTTGTGTGCCATCCTGAGGGGTCTGTATAGTCACCAGAGTGATAAGGAGTCAGGAGGGTCGTTTGAAGCAGGGGGCTGGCGTGACCAAATCCATTTCAGAAACATCGCTCTGGCGGAGGCATAAAGAATCTTTTTTCAAAGCATGATGTGCATGACCGGAAGGTTGAGTTTTGATTCATGGTCTGGCAGGGGCATGTGTTAGCACTAATGGACTATGAGACGAAAGGGTCTCGTGTGCCCAGTCTAAGGAGCTTTGACCTGACCCTGTGGGTAATGGGGAGCCTTTGAAGGATTTGAAGAAGGTCAGAGATGTGGTGACATCTGCCCAGAGAAAACAAAACATATCACCAGCGCGCTGTGTTAATGCGCGATTCCATTTAGACATTTGGGAATACTGAAAATAGCCTGAAGACCCCAGAGTGACCTTGCCAGAAGTCAGGCTGGAAATTTCTGGATCAAATGATTTCTTAGCTCCCCTCCAGCTCTGACAGTCTAAGATTCGGTAACAAGGAAGGGAAAGCTATTGCCAAAATGGATAATGCACCACAGTGTCAGACGTGGGGATTATCTGCTGCTTGGGGTTTTCCACACCACTGCTCCCCTTCATTAGTGGGGATAATTGGGAGTTGACTGCACTTGTTACCACTGTTGTGTTGGGTATTTGAAGCTAAATTCCGGCAACCAGAAGATGTGTGAATATTTATCTCAGCTGCAGAAAGTTAATGCAGTGTGGCATTAATTACCCTGTCTGAGCCTGCTGTCTTCTTCTGTTTTTAGGTGTCATTCTCAGTTGAATAAATTAGTTTCCAAAATTAGAATAGAGCAAATTGTAGGGTGAGATCAAGGCAGCTTGACTTCTGAGGGCATCCATAAAGAAGGGTGGGCTGAGGAAGTCTATCCAAGGAAGATTAAGATGCATCCTGGTAGCCTATAGGCAAAGAAAATGGTTTTTCCCAATACTTGTACTTTATGACTCTACCTTGGCTCCGCCCACCCCACCCCAGAACACACACACACACAGAGAGAGAGAGAGAGAGAGAGAGAGAGAGAGAGAGAGAGAGAGAGAGAGA